GATCAACTGAGCTGTCTCCATGTCATTCCTTCTTCGCCGACTCCGTCCACACCTTTGGGGACCCCTGGACCTGCTGGGGCTGGACCCCAGCAAGCCCATTCCATAACTTCAGATAGACTTACCCTAAAGAATTCTAATTTCTCTACTTTTAATAAGTTAAAAAACAACTCCAATTTATTCAAATGAACGCTTTGAATGTGTCAGATACTGTTAGGTGCTAGAGAAGAGATGAATTCTAATACTGGTAATAACTTCCAATAAAATTATTCTAAAACCAGTTTTCAGTTTAAGCAAAGATAAAAATTCTTTATATATATGAAGGTTTAACCTTCATTTTAAAAAATTTGAATTTCCAGTAATTTTTTTAATCTGGTTTTTACTGTTTTGGCCAACTGTCACATTACCTAAGCTATACATTTGGTATGACTGAAGAACTGAAACATGTATTTCAAATAAAATTTCTATATAACCTATAGAAAAAGTATATATGTAAAATAAATGAATTATTGTTATCAGAGAAGAGAAAGTTATAAATTACTGGACAATCATTTCATACAATATAGTCTCCTCTCTTAGTTGTAGGAATTACATTCAACAAAAGTGGAGGCCCTGCTACCCATTCCAGCTTGACTTGTTTTAACACATTTATAATCAGTCTTTGACATCACAGAAAACTCCCTTAACCAGTTCTTTTAGGAAAGGGGGTTTTTCTAGTTAGATTAACTCTGATTCTGATCATCACCCTAACTAATTCCCTTTTTTCAGACACTGGGGACTCAAAATTTTTAAAAATGAACTTGGTCCTGAGGCAAAAATTGGTCTGAATTATTCACTAGATCTCTGAACAAGATCCCAAACACAAAGAAAAAAATAACCTCTCAATAAAAATGGTATTTAAAGATTATACCGTCTCAACTTGCACTCCTTCCAGATGCTTTTCTTCTAAGTAATTTTTAACTCTTCTTTCACCCATTCAAACTTGGGGGAAAATAATAACTTAGTAACCTTTAGCTTACTGTTTCTCTAATGTTCTTCCCCTTCTGATTTCCTGTTTCTTTTCTCCCTGTTCTTATTGAAAGTTGTAGCTGTACATGCTTCCTTCCATTTTATGTTAAAGCTATGGCTTCTAACAATATCAATTTCTATTTGAAATGCTCTAAAAGCTAATAATGAAATTATAACCCAATTCTAGTCATACTAATTTGTATACTAGCTAATTATCACAGAAGTATTCATTAATCAAACATCTACTAAGATGACTCATTTGGAAAATGTTTTTTAAAATTACCAAGCATTAATTGCTGTCAACTATTTCCAAATAAAAAAGAATGATTATTTCATATCTAATACCTTTGCTGTCTCTACTTCACTACATAATTTTCTAGTTCAAGTTTCTTAAAAATTAAAATAAAAACCCTGAAAGCAGAGTTAAAGAAAAATGACTCAAATTTACTCATTTCAGTAGATAAGGAAAGCAGAAAATATCTAGCACTGTAGCTACTGAAACAACATGTTCTCCTTTTCTTACTCTAAGGTAAGATACTAACTAGGTTTAAATATATTCCTATAGTTTATTGATAGCATTCACTCAAAATTATGTATTTGCAGTAGAACTATATTCAAGTGGCCTCTTTTATTTTTTATTTTTCTTTTATTAAATTTATTGGGGTGACATTGGCTAATAAGATCATATAGGTTTCAAGTGTACATTTCTATGATACATGATCTATATGTTGCATATTAAATATTTAACAGTGCTTAAAGCAAGGATTTCCCAACCTCATTTCTTGAACATGAAACTAACCACTGTTAAAAGTGATGAGAAATATATTTGTAACTAGCAACCAGCTTTGGAAGGGGGAAAAAAGTTTTTTCCCTATTAAGGGGTGCCTTTGCTTCACTTGTTCAAAAGTAAAAAAAAAAAAAAAAAGCATTAGAAATGTTAATCTAGTTCAAATGCTCTGAAAGCATGAGTCCAACTTTCTCAATACTATAATCTCCACTAATTAAAAAACCTTGGTAATATTCTATAACTTGTGCACAACTACTAGTATTATTAAAATGCACTTTCAGGTTTTACAAAAAGCATTTGAATAAAGTTCAAATCATATAGATCATGTTTAATGTCTTTGATTTCTTTAGGGGAAAAAGAGCACTACATTCAGACGACAGGTATCATTAAATATATGAACAACTTGTAAACTAATAACAAACACAACTGTTACAGTTATCACTTACTAGGCATTTAATATATGCCAGGAATGTGCAATCGCATTTAAGTCTTACTACCATCCTTATAAAATAGTGACAATAACCCTCATTTTGCAGATGAGGAAAGACCAAAGAGGCAAGTAACATGCCCAGGTCACAGAGCTAATTGGTCAAGTCTCCATTAAACTTAGACTGTTTTGACTTTTGTGTTTAACCACAACACCATCATCCCTCCTCCACAGTTATGAGATATACCTGCTGAGTACATCTATGAAGCCCTATAGTGGTACATTGGGACACAAATCTTTCTCAGTCCACTCACTTGGTTCTAATTTAATATTCTGAATAAACAGTATTAAATGATGACATTTAGAGGATGCACTGTAATCAGGACTTATAGGTATGGGTAAATGATAATACTAGTAATAATTCATATATTTACTTTAAAAAGTTTCTGAATGGAAATAACATTTGTTGAGAGTATACCATATGATGATCTGCATTTTTCCTTATATTATCTTACATAATTCTTAGTTAATTCTCACAACTCTGCAAAATCATTATTATGTCTATGTAAAACTGAATAAACAGAAGTTTGAAGAAATTCGCATTTGGCCAGTGTTACAAAGTTAGTAAATGGCAGAGCTGGAACTTGATTTCAGACCTAGTTCCAAAGAACCTGATTTTCTTTCTTTAAGGTAGCTTATTAAAGTTATATAAATATGTAGACTGATAAAAGCAAAAACTCAAAATTAGAGAAAGATGGAGGATAATTATACTAAAAAATTAAGGTAATAGTTTTACTATCTGTGCATGTAAAATTTAGCTCAAAACTTCCTGGCTATCAAGAGAAATGTTTACTAAATGTATAATTAAACACACAATTGTTGTGTGGCCTGTTTTAAATATTAACTATGCTTCATATTGCTTTAACAGGATTTTTCAACCTCATCTCTTTAACATAAAACAGACCACTGTTAAGGTGAGAAGTACATTTTTTAGATGGAGTTTGCTATTGCATAAAATGGTTCAGCATGCTTTTTTCACTTAAAAGAAATTATGAATGTTTTCCCAGGCCAATACATATAGATCTAAATGGTTATTAAATATAATCATAATTATGACAGATATAGAATTGCACGGTTTTCATATACTGAATCAGACATCTTTTCAAATAAAATATACAGACATATAAATGACCAGTTTTGAAATGTGCAAGGTAGAGATATGAAGTTAGGCACTTTCATACACTTTGCTTGTGGAAGTATGAACAGCCACAACATTTTTGGGAAGTAATCGGTATATATTTTTAAATCTTAAAAAAAAAAGACCCTCAAAAAAATCCAAATCATTCTTTGACCAAGAAATCCACTTAAAATTAGTCTACAGAAATAAAAGTTTCAGTCTACAAGGTTACAGGTTCAAATGCATTTAATGCAGCATTTTTACGGCAAACAAACAAACAAAACACACCTAGAAACAATCTAAACTATCAACAGGGAAATGACTAAATAAAGTACAGCTGTACTATGAAACAATACACATCTAGTTTAAAAACCATTTAGAAATATATGTATTAACCAGGAAATAATAGCCATGATTTTAAGTGGATTAAAAAAAAAAAAAAGCTTGGTACAGAGTTTGATGCAATAGCATAACCCATTTTAAACAAACATACACCCTTCAATCCTACATGCACATAATATGGAAGAATACACATCAAATTGTAAAAAATGAACACACAGGCTGAGAACAGAAAAAGGGAAGAGAGAAATTAACTTGCTTTATCCATCTCTGCACTGACAGTATAATGAGCATGTACTATTTTAAAATATTCAAAGTAGAAAAAAAATAAAGGACTTAAATATTTCAAGCATTTTATATGCAATTCTGATTTAAAACAAGTTAAAAATAAGCCAAAACAAAAGAACTCTCTTTCATAATATTTCCAATAGAACTTCCACATTTACCAATAATCTGGGGAACATAGGAAGTCAATCATATGATCAGTCTAAAAAAAATAAACAAAAAAACACCCCAACGATCAATGACATTTCCAGTTGTTGTTTTTATAGTCTGGCTTCTTACTGTGTTAATTTATGCACTGTCTGACTAATCCTTTCACAACTGTTATATAGCTATTTTATTCTACTCCTTAGAATATATGATGTTTTTGTGTAATTTTTACATAACTGACTCAAGACAACACAGGAGAAAAGCAGCCCACTAAACATTTCGGGTTATTTAAATTCTAATCTTCACTGTTGAGATTTTTTTTTTTTAACGTGCAAGGTATCTTATTAAAAACACCAGAGAGGCTGCTTTTGTGATTCCAATATAAAAATCTTTGTTGAGCATCTACTAAGCACAAAGCCTCATGCTAGATCTGATAATGTAGTAATGCTTAAAAAACAAAAAACAACAACACTGTCCCTGCCTTCATGAAACTCGAACAGAAGAAGCATTTTGATTTGCTTATAGGCCCAGTAAAGTGGATTACTACTTGATCTGTCAGTCAAGTGAACACAAAACTTCAGGAGTCACTCTAATACTCGAATCTAATCAAAATGATTGGTCAATTTCCTTTCCTCAACCATAAAGCAATCTCTGAAATTCACCTAAAAAAAAAACAACAAACAAAACCCCTCACCTCACTTTTGACAAGCTAACATGTTTTTATACAAATCAATAATGTGAATAAGAAAAACTTGAATTTCCTTCAAAGCAAGACCGTTTCAGGTAACTGAGGGTATGCTATGAACAGGAAATAAAGTACTCCAACACTGCACAGAAGCACTTAGGAGAAAAACAAAACCCCTGCCCTTACTACTTCAGTTAAGAGGACTAGTTATAGTGAAAATTTTACTGGTGAAATATGATGTCTAAGATTTGCTTCAAAATAACTTGGTGGAGAAGGTACAGGTGAAACAAAATTGCTGATTATTGGTGACATTGACTGATAGGTATATTAAGGCTTAACATACTACTCTATAGTGTACATGTTTAAAACAGTCTAGAATAAAAGTATTTAAAAAGTAAAGTAGACCATCTTTGAGACCTCTATTTGTGCATTGCTGTCTCCAGCCGTAACAGGCATTTAATCACATACAAATGTTTCAAGCCTTTAAAAAAAATGAAGCATCTCTCAATAGCCCTTATTTCAACATATTCTATTTGCTTTAACTTGAAGTACAGTATATCTTACTAAAATTATGGAAAGATATTTAATACTGATAAAAATCAGTTGTAAAAGCACCCCAAATTCTGTTGAATGGCTGACACACACAGCCATAAAGTTTAACATAAAGAGCAAAAACTTTTTAAAATGTAGCTTTAATTCCAAGAAATTTTTAGAATCTAAAGTTTTACATCTTTTAAATAACTGCCATTTACTGAGTGCCTAATATATGCCAGCTACTTTAAAAGTAATCTCTAATCCTAAAAACTCATTTTACAGATAAGGAAACTAGCTCAGAGAAGTGATACATCCGTGATCATATGCTAGTACTACTGAGCGGAAAGCTAAGATTAAGGCCCAGGTCAAAATCTACAGCTAGCTCTCCGAAGTCATGCTCCTCTCTTTTATTCAACAAATATTCAACACTCAGTACAAGCCTGGCAACGGGGCACTAACTGTATGCCAAGCAACGAGCTAAGGGGTTTTAATCACATTTAATCCTCACAACAACTCAAAAAAGTAGGCACCATTATCCCCCGTATAGATAAGGGCACTGAGTCTGAGAGGTTAAGCAACTTGCTTATGGTCACTAACTAGGAAGTCAAAGCACATTACACATGACGTGCGCCAAGGCATGACCAGTAACAGTGCCTACGCAGAAACCTTGAGGAAAATTTTTGGAAAGTCTTCGGGGAAGGAGGCGTGGGAGCTGAATTAGTGCAAGGTTAAGTGTGTCCTTAATAACCACATCTAAATAAAAGGAAGCTGTGATAGTACTGAAATGAGCAATAACCTGCAAGTGTTAGAATCGGGGCTCTGACACCCGCCGTGGGGCCACCAGGAAAGCACTTGCTCTCTGGAGAACCCCATTTTTTCTTCAAATGTAAAATGGAAATCCAGCCCTCTCTCGCCTGGAATTGTGAGAATAAGGCCTGGCAGTGTAGTGGCTGACACGACAAGACTTTGGGTTACAAAGGAGAATCCACTGTCATCCAACGCTACCTTGTCAATGGTCAGGTCTGCGACCCTGGCCTAACTCGAGCGCAGTGAGCTCCCGCCCCAGGGGAGGGAGAGGCCAGTGTGCACGCACCGGCCTTAACCGGCCACAGCACCACTTCAAGCCTCAGTTTCCTCGCTTGTAAAATGGAGAGAACGCGACTTATCACCAACAGCTACGTGAAGTGCGAAGACACCCAAATCTGTGCCTGGCACACAGGGAAGTGCAAACGAGCCAAACAACGCCTGCTCCTTCTTTTCAGTCCTAGAAACGCCAAAACTTTTGGTCGTCTTCATCATTTCTGGATCCCATCTGGGCTCGGGGCCTTCCAGGGACTCGCCCAAACCACAGCCTCCCAAGCACAGACCCTCTTCTCCAGCCCGAGGTCGGGCAGTCCACCCACACCGACAAGGACACCGGCGACAGTCCAAGATGCCGGCGTGCTGCCTTTTGTACTGCGGGCCAGACGCGGCCTATGGGACGGGGACTGCCACGTCTGGGGCTCGTGGGCTGCCAGGCGCGGCTCGCGCGGATCAACACCGCGGGGGTGTC